TATAACCCGAAATACCGTAAAACAAGATCCATTCGGTACTTATGTCGGGTTCGGATCGGTTCGGGTTCCTTTTTATCGGGTCGGATTCGGTTCGGATTTTCGGGTTCGGTTTTTTTTGCCCAGCCCTAATGCAAAGTTATGTCCAACTAATCCTTTTAACAATACTTACCTTTTTAATATAAACTGCATCAATTTTTACCTTTTTAATGTAACCACAATTTAAATTCCCTAACACTCGGGGACATCTTTTTAACAGGCATCCATGTATCTTATTTAATTACTAGGATTATGGCCCATGCTATGCATGGGCATAGTATTGTTTGATATACAATTACTTTTATAAATTCAAAAATAATATGCTAAATTTAATTTTAATTAGAATTGTATTAAACTGAAAATAAATATAAATTCTTGTGAATGAAAATAAAAACTATTGAAATTTGGATATATACTTATATTATAGACCTTCAACGATTGACCTTAATGTAGTGCGCACCACAGTAACACTATACCATATTCAAATTCCTCAACAGTAAGATGATCTAGTTTTTCTTTTGCCTTATAACCATAATAAACAAAAAATTCTAGTAGAAAAAAGCTTAAAACATATTTTTTATGGTTAACTGAATATAAGTGTCAAGATACTAACCTTTCTAAAAAAAAAAGAAAAAAAAGTGTCAAGATATTCACGTTTGTATTCCAAATCACATGAAAGTCTGATGTTTTGAATTGTCAAGTTTGTAAATAGTCAATCCTTTTTGTCAAAAAGAGAAGAGTAATATATCAAAACTATACTATATATTAATAGATTATATATAAATTATCGTTACCTGAGTTGTTGACCGTGATTTGATTCTCCATTTACTGAGAAGAACTATAAGCTCTTAAAAAGGAGAAAAATACATTGGTATCTTCAGTGTGAAATTTTGAATCATGCAAAAGAGATTATCACGTTAACGAAGAGAACACTGAACTTGGAAAAAATAATTATAAATATGTATATATTTACTTTTGCTATACACATCACCCAAAAACAAATTGTCAAAGAAAACTAAAATATAGTCTGTAGAGAGAAAATCGAAGAGTAAAAAGAATAGACAAATTGATTGAGAGTTTAGAAAAAGAAACCGTTTCAACCTTGCCATATTTTAGAAGTTGTAGATAAATGAATTGTTTTTTGAACGTGGTGATAATGATTTTCTTAAATTTAGGTATATAAGATTTTACTGTTTCAGAAAATTAAGGATTGGATTTTCGTTTCTACAATTACGGATGAACCGTTTTTTTCTAAAATCTCTGAAATTCTTAATTAATTATTTTTAAAATAGAGAAACAAAAAGAAAATTTAGAAATGACACATGTCACTTGGAGAATTGTTAAGTGACTTCTGCTTTATAGTATAAATGATAAGGACAATTATATAATTGAACCAAAAAAAAATTAAAAGGTACGACAGTTACATAACTTTTCTATATTAGTAACCGGCAAGACCCACTCCTTTCTACTACTTTGATGTTACTAAATTATTTAACCCACAAATTATTTTTTCATGACCAAAAATACAAATATATTATTTTTCTCAAATATTTTTTTCATCGGTTAGTTAAAAGTACGGGTCATGGCCCATACCAAATTGACATTGTTAATCAAATTACCAATTTTATAATATTTTCATATAGGTGATCATTAGATTTATTTGGTTTTTTTGGGTTAAACATTACCGGATCATGGCTCAATGAATTTTTTGGGTTTTTAACCGGATTTTATTAAATTTTTAAATAAAAATTTAATCCAAAATCTAAGCTAGATTATATGCAGATCATTCTATTTACCATTTTATTGTGGATTTATATCAAATATGAAAATATCGCGAAAATATTCAAATTAGATTATAAATTATAAATTTAGCAAAATTTAGATCAGTACAATAAATCAAAGTTTTGAGTATATCTGTCATATTTAATCGGATCCGAGACCTAGACTTACGGGTAGATGCCACATTGGTTTTAGAGTACGAATATTATTAATTACGTTGATAATTCAAAATGCTAAAAGTACAAAAATATCCTGATTTTATTAAAACCTTATTACATATTTCATCATTAAAACTATTTAATGTTAAACATATTATAAAATCTGCACAGTTATAATGCTTTCCTTTTAGTATTTAAATGTAAATAATAATTAAAAATAAAATTTATATCAAATAAATTTGATTTGTTTTGGAAATAAATTTGTACTTTGAAAATACAAATCAAAATTTAGAATAGGCCAATATGATTACAAATAAACGGGCATACGAACATATGTTTACAAAGATACGAGCATATGGCAGATCAACTTTTAAATTGCTATTATTTTATAAAATAGATTTTGATTAAAATTTATACATAAATATGATTTTTTTTAGGAAAAGAACAAATATGCTTACAAAAAACATAAATATGTAAATTAAATTTTTAAAAATTGAAACAAGAAATATATCCCCATCCTTTTAAGGGCGGGTCAAAATCTAGTATACTCTATTAAAATAGAGTCCTAAAAATTATCTACCATAAAAATTCTCATTAAATTTTTGGTCTGTTTAAAGTTTGTTAGAGTGTAACATAATTTATGGACCATAGCTAATTATTCAAAAATTAAATATTACAAGATTATATATTAGATATATACACATATAGTTGACTGGTTTACTTAAATTATACCCATGATTTAAACTCTACATTAGTTAAACCAAACGTCAAACAATATATTGAATTACGGTATATTACAATGCAAATAGACTGACCGTACAATTACATTCAATACTTTTATTTCATCGTAAAACCTTCCTCATCATAACTATGGGTTCTATTTATTAATTAATTAATAATATTATTAAATGAAACAGAACTTAATTCATTTATAATATTAATGACAACTCAAATTTTAACTGTAAATTTATTTTTTATTTTAATTATAAAAAAATATGCTGAGAAAAAATTTACAAAATATTACCAAAGTTCAAATATATTTTATAAAATAATGTAGTGATGTAGTAACAAAAAAATTCAAAATTCGTGTAATATTCCATACTCAAAAATAGTAGTGTAATTTTTTAAAGTTTTATTAAAAATATAAAATTTTGAAAATAAATATTCAAAATTAAAATGATAATATTTCAAGTTTTGAAAAAGATAAAATCATCAAGAATAAAGAATAAACTTTTGAAATGACCATGGAAAAATAAACTATACATATTGTAAAAAATTAAACAATCTAATATTTGAAATCTAATTTTAAAAATTTATAAAAAACTTAATATCATAAAATCCAATAATATCCTATATCAATAAAATTTACTAAAATAATATGATAGATGTTACTATGTAAAATACTAGAGCTACATTATTTAAACAAAATAATATTTTTACTTATAAATCCCATAAAATACTAAAATAATATATGTTAAAGTATTTTTTTAACACACAACATGTAAATATAAATTATCTTATACATATTTCTTTTCTATAATATAAATAAAACTGTCTTATATAGCAAAATATATAAATTACAGAAAAATATATTTTGAAGGAGATTATCAATTTGATTATTTCATATATTATTTTATTGTACCTAACTTGATAATATATTAGTAAGTAATAAAAATTAATAACAAAGTAAAATACATTAATAAAATCACTATAGATTAATAACGCCGAATAAGAAATATAAACAATAATATTATAAAATCACACAATATAGAATAAAAAAAATAGAAAATATATATATTTAAACCATTTGTAGTAATATTAAATACATTAATAAAATAAAGAACATCTGCACGGACTGTGCGGATTAAAATCTAGTAGTTACTTGTTACTTGTTTGTACTTGACTCGTAAAGTTAAATACTAATTTGATCAAATCAAATATCAAATAATATATTTAAATTATTTGTAAATTCAAGCTAAGAATCAAACATTAAAATAAAAATAACTATTTGATATTGTTTGACTTGTTACTCATATTTATTAATGAACAAAATACATTTTTCTATACCATAGTAAAATGACTTATTTATACTTGCATTTTCATTTGTGAATCAAAATATATGATATATTTATATAAGAATTTTGAAGTTTT